CTAAGTTCTACACCTTAGTCTACCTGACACTCACCATGGAGGCTTCCAGCTCCTTGGCTACCCAGGGAGCATATTCCTGTGCCCAGGGGAGGGACATGGCAGGATCCAGCAGTCCACAGAGTTGTGCCGAGGACATTTAGAAAGGCTGGAGGAAGATGAAGCATCCAGTTCAGCTTTGAGTTCTTTTCTAAAGGCCTTCTGGGATCAATGTGTGGTCAAGCCTAGTTCTTGGGCAGAGCCCAGTTACTGTTTTTTATGGGCAAGAGACCTACCTATTGCAGGAAGAGCGCAGGAGTGCTCCCTTGATGACAACAGGAACTTTCTTCACCGCCTCCCCAAACCCCCCTTGCGAAGACTGGATCTCACTATACAGACCTACTAGGCCTCAGGCTTGCCTTTCTCCTCCCTCAGTTTCCCCAAAGCTGACATTCCGGGTATTGTCTCACAGTGCTCTGCTCGGGGCCAAACAGCTGCCGCCTTCATAAAATCAGTTGTGTCTGCTCAGACAAGATCGTCAGGGCAGGGCTTGTTGACTGTGGACATTCCAGAAGAGGAAGAGGGGTGGGGAGGGTCCCTGGACCCCCACGTGAGTATCCATCCACCTCTCCCAATCAGCTGTATGCAATTTTGCCCCAATTGCACAAGGCCTTCTAGGTCTCAGGGAGTGGCTGGGGAGTCGTGGGAGGAAGCTCCGTCTGTGCAGCTCTCATTCATGCTGTCTGTAGACTTTCTGGTGTGGGTGCTTTGGGGTCGTCCAGTCGACCTTAATGGATGACTCCCAGAGGACAGGCTTACTCAGTCTTGGACTCAAGTGCCCTTCCACTGAGCTGTACCCACATTCCCTTCCCTTCTTTCAAATGTGAGCATGCGCATGTATGTGCAGACATATGTGTGTGTGTGTGTGTGTGTGAGACTGCTGTTCACCTCCTCTGAGACAGTGTCTGCCGTTGGCCTGGAGCCTGCCTATTATATAACAAACAGGCTGCTTGGCCAGTGATCCTTAAGATCTTCCTGTTACTCCTTCCCTGGTGCTGGGAATGAAACTCAAGACCTGTGCTAGCCACGTAAGTAAGTGCTTTACAGACTGAATGTCCACCTTGTCCAGGCTGGCCTTGGACTCTGTAGCCTAGCTGGGCCTTGAACTTGCAAACCTCCTGCCTCAGCCTACAGATATTATAGGCCCATGTCACTAGGCATGACTCATAATGGGGATTTTCAAGCAAGGAAAGAAAAGTCACAGAAGCCAGAGTGAAGGCAGATGCTCCTGGGAGGCTGTAGGGATACAGCAAGGAGCTGATATGCCCTCTTAGGTAAGTGGCCTTTATCTGGAGTGTAACGAATTATCGCTGAGTGATTTAAGCAAGGGAGCCATATGGTCATTTTTACCTTTTAGATGGATCTTGTGGCGACAGGTTGTGTCGTCTTGGTTAGAGGAGGATTAAGTTGGGGACCAGGCTGGGCATAGTGGCGCACGCCTGTAGTCCCAGCACTTGGGAGGCAGAGGCAGGTGGAGCACTGTGAGTTCAAGGCCAGCCTGGTCTACAAATCTAGTCCAGGACAGCCAAGAGAAGCCCTGTCTTGAAAAAAAACCAAGACTAAAACCAACAGCAACCCTCAAAAACCAACCCCCTCCCTCCCCAAAGGATTGGGGACCAATTTGGGGCAGGTGAGAAACAAGGACCTTAGGAAGGAAGAGCAGACAAATACTTAGCAGAGTGCCGTCCAATAGAAACACGTCACAAATGCAGGCCCCGTATGCAGAACATTCCAGAAGACCTGTTAGAAGGCCAAGGAGAAACAAGTAAATTTAGTTTTAGGAATACATTTTGTTTAATATAAACTATTCAAAATATTACAGTTTCAGCATGTGATCAATAAGAAAATTAGACATGTTTTTTTTTTTATGCTATTTTACAATATGGCATGTATTAAACTTAGCACATTTCCGTTTGGGCTAATTACATGCCAGATAGCTATCATATTGGCTAGTGAAGAAAGTTATTCTGCATGTGGTGTGTGTGTGTGTGTGTGCGTGTGTGCGTGTGTGCGTGCACGCGCATGACATGAGTAAGGAAACGAGGAGCATCAGTGTGGCTTAAGGTCTGGCTGGTGATTGCCATCTACAGACACAGGAAATATAAAAGTGGAGGCGCTTTTGGCTCCAGGAGATAAGGAATTCAAGTTTGACCTTGGGCACACAAATGGAAATGTTTTACAGACAGTTGAGAACATCCCTCTGGGGCTCAGGCGATGCTGTGGCCGGAGAACAAATGTCAAGGACAGTTTACGATGGCAGTGGACTGCATGGCGGGGGCAGTTGACTTAGCCCACAGCGTACAGGCAAGAGAGAAAGAGCTTCAAAGCCCTGCGGGGGACCCTGGTGATGGTGTCCTTAGGGGACTGCAAAGGTGACTAAGAGGGACCATGCAGGAAGCAGGAAAAGTGCAGAGAGATGTGGCTAAGGAGGGAAGGGGAGCGAGACTCAGAGACCCAGGGTCCCGGGCTCCCAGATGAGCAGTTGTTTGCTCATTGGCCTGCACTTCTTGCTTTTGTGACTGGAGATGAAAAGCAACAAGGACGAGATGGGAGAGATGGCTCAGCAGTCAAGGGCACCCAGAGGACATGGGTTCATCCCCAGCTTATAACTGTCTGTAACTCTAGTTCTAGGGGACCTGATGCCCCCTTCCAACTCCTCAGGTTCCAGACATGCACGTGGGGCACAGATACGTGCAAATGACATATCCACCCACATAAAAATATTTAAAAGAAGATAAAGTAAACTAAATATACCTTTTTCTTAAAAACAGAGAAGGGGTAAGGAAGAAGTAGGAAGGAGTTGGGGAGCACAGGGCTTTGTTGATCCCAGAGACTGGTATTTGGGGGCTTCATGTCCTGCTTTGGTGTCACCATCCCTGGCTTGGGCTGGAGAGAGGTCACTGTTCTCACGTTGTTCGGAGATACCCTGACCTGTCCCCCTCTCAGCCCATGATCCTTACATCCCCCTCAAACTCCATTTCCAACTCACGTTCCATAAAATACTTCTGGAAGAAACTACTTGAAGAAATTTCACCACTGTGTGGTTCTGCTGGTGAGTGCTCTTCTCATTCCCCCTCAGCCACCTTTCTCAGAGCCACACTGCTGTCTGTGGGGGCAGAGTCTTAGTAAGGGCTCTACCAGCCAGCCTGCAGTAGCCCTGCCCAGGCTGTGAGGGGCAGTGCCCTGGAGGGAAATGGATGCTAAGCCACCAGGCTGGGTGTTGGGTGCCTGGCTTCTCCCTCTAGCAAGACCTGGAGGAGGAAGGGAGTGGGAGAAAGGGGAGTTCGGAGGGTTTGAAGAGTGAGGTCGTCTGTCACTTAGGACCACCGGGTAGCCCTCCAAGTTCTTTCGGGACAAGTTGGGAGGCATTGTTTTCAGCATAGACAGGAAAAGACATCAGAGCCAGTGGTGCTGTCCGGAAGAGGAGGCTCAGACTCTAGATCAGTCCCCACAGGTAGTGTGGGAAGGACCCACTAACCAGGGATTTAATAGGGCTGGGACCTTGCTGCAGTGAAAGGTCTCACCACCCCGATGGCCCCAATGATGAGTTCAGTCTGGTGTCTGTAGCCTGAAGGAGAGACAGGCACCTGGCAAAGTCTTGCCTGGCTTCAGCTTTTTCTGTGGAATGACCTTAGAGCTGTCAGTCATTCAGAACTTGAACTTTCTGAGTGTCAGTTTTGGCCTTCATGCCATTTCTGGCAGGTCTGGGAACCCTGAGGGACAGGCTCCTGCTGGGAGCTGCTGTGGCTGGTGAGAAGGGTGGTGACTTCTAGCTTTGTTCTTAGAGGGGAATGGGAGAGGGAGGGGGCGTTTAGAGGTGGGAGGGGAATAGATGAGAACAGCCCTCAGCCAGCAGCCACATTTAAGAAAGGCCTTACTCCAGGCCTTCACAGCTCCCTCACAGTTGGCTGAACTGGGTCCTTAAACTAGTGTTGTTAGTCTTCTAGAGCCTGTAGGATGGAGGAAGAGGGAAGAGCTAATTGAGGCTCAGTGAGTGTCAAGTTTCAAGAGTTCGAGGCCAGCTAGTCCAGGACAGGCAAGAAAACCCTGTCTTGGAAAGAGAGACAGAGACAGAGACAGACAGAGACGGAGACAGAGAAGGCAAGGGAGGGCTGAGAATTTTATATTCTTTGGTCTGGGACCCAGGCTTTCCCTCTCATTTCTGAGTCCTGGATATCATCACCTCTTGGCCCTTACCAAGACACAGCATAAAGGCTTGGGAGGTACTGAAATCACCGTATATCCATCCAGCAGCTGCCCTCTTGTCTCCTGAAATGGCCAATGTTCTTTGGCTTTACAAGCTGTGGAGCAGTTTCATTACTGGGAAATCAGGGACTGGAAGCAGCAAGAAAGAGATAGTTTAACGTTCCAGAGGCTGGTGAGCTGCCTGCCCTACAGGAGCGTGTGCAGAAAGGGGTGCAGGGAGACCTCCCTCTTCTTCATCTCGGGGGGCCCTTGTCATTTTTTTTTTTTTTTTGCTGGCTCTCTTCCGGCTCCCACAGGGCCCCCGGGTTGGAACTGAAATGCTAGAATTTCATACTCAAGGTTTCGCCTCCTGGTTTTCAAGAAAGCACGCAGCAGGGATTAGCTGGCGGAATGGCCTGTGAAAAGAGGTTAATGCAGAATTGGAGGTGGGTGACGCTGCCTCTCTCGGCCACCCTCAAGTCTGTTGACGTCTCTGTGTCACCCCACCTCCCGGCTCTCATCTAGGTCTTCCGATGTCCCTCTTTTCTTCTAAACTCCCCTCCCACCCCCACGGCTTTCCAGCTTCCTCTCTAGCCCCCGCAGTTCCTCCGCTCCCCCAAACTGCAGCCCAGGGGAAATAGCCCCACCACAGCCTCCCGCCCCTGCTCCCCAGTCGCATAGGTTCCCTACCCCCCCCCTTTGCAGCACCTGGCGCCCCCAGTCTTCCAATTGGCCAGTGGCCCCATCAATCCTTGCCGGGCTGTGCTGACGTCATCCTGCAGTAGCGGGGATGGGGTGGGAGTGAGAGCGAGAGAGCGAGAGAGCGAGAGTGAGGACGCTAGGCTGGAGACCGAAGAGAAGCTGCTGCAAAGTCTCTGGTCTCGGCCACCCAGCGGGTCTGCACGCGTCCGCCGTATGGACCAGCGTGGGCAGCAGGCTGCTTTCTGATCTTGTCCCGCCGCCCTCCCCTCCTTGCAGACTCCCTGCAGTCCTTCTCCAAAGTGGCTTTAGCAGGCTCGAGGCTCCCTGAGGACAAGAACGCCTGGCCTGGAGTGCTTTACAGCGCACCATGACCCTGCTGCTGCTGTCCCTCTTGCTGGCCTCTCTGCTGCAGCTCAGCTCTGGCAACAAAGGTGAGATAGACGAGGATGGGGGTGGGGTGGAGTGGTGGGCTCTGAACTGGAGCGTCAGGGAAAGCTATGTGGGGGTACGGAGGGAAGGAGATGCTGAGGCTTTCTGGCTCCTGACAGGTGTCCTTTCCTTTCTGACCACCCCCTCTCCATCCTCTCCTCAGATATGGTCCCATCACCCACCTCACTTCCAAGGGCCACCTCCTCCTCTCCGGCTCTGCTCGTTGCCCGGCATCCTGCTTGTATTTGCTCTCCGTCCCCACCTGGGGTCTCTCTGCCCCCTCCCCCAACTCCTCCATACTGGTAGCTGCCTCCTGTCTCAAAGGGACTTGCCCCCCCCCCCCAGGGTGACATTCCCTTGGCTTCGCTTTCACTGGGTGTGCGTGTACACTAAGGGTGTGTGACACATCCATCTGGTTGTCCTCATCCCTTTCTGGGGAGAAACTGTGCACCCGCAGCTCAGCAATTCCGAGCACGTATTTTTTTTTTTTTCTAATTTTTTTTTTTTTCCCGTGTCCGTCGGCATCCATAGCCTTCTGCCTGCATCCGCTGGGTTGTGGGTTACCACAGCTGCCCTCTCTGGCAGACAGCAGATAAATCCAGCTGGGTGAGATTGTCAGAGGGAAGGGGAGGGTGGGGCCAGGGGGCCAGAGGGTTCAGGTAGGCAGAGGGGAAGGAGAAAGGCGGAAGAAAGGGCAGAAAGGGGAGTGGGACGCTCCAGGAAAAGAGGTAGGAAGGGAATCTGAGGAGGAAAGGGGGCCGAGCAGTGGGAAGGGAATAAGAAGAAGGAGGGAGGAAAACCAGGAGGAAAGGTGAGAAGTGGGAGAGGAGGGAGCTAAGGAAAAGCCAGGGAGCAAAGAAGGGAAGAATGGACACAGCACAGCAGGCAGCCATAGGAGGGGGGTGAGGAGAAGGGCTCAGGGGCCACGGAGACAAGGGTTGCAGGGTGTCTGGCTCTGCCCCTGGTGCCCTCAGCTCTTCTGTCTGCTGTCTCCTATGTCTGGCTGGAGCTCCTACCTCAGGATACTCCTCCTTGCTCTTGTCACTCCCTGCTTGGCTCCCATACACCATCTTGAGGCTGTCTCTTTGGCCGTTAGGGAAGGTTACAGTGGCCATTATCATGAAATGGGGAGGCCTGCAGATTTGTTGCGCTGTGGTTAGAGGTGTGAACAGAAATTAGAATATCTTGCTTGTCATGAGATACTGGGGTGAGAGTCCACCCTCAGGTGACTCAGTTTCCCTCGGATGATCTATCTTCCCCTCCCTCTCTGGAAGCATGGGTAGGCATATGGAATGAGATAGACCAAGTGGTGAAGGTTGGGTCTAGGGAGGAGACAGAAGAGGCATATGTGTTCCCTATAACCTCTTAAGATCTTGAGGGAAATTGGTCTTGGGGAAGAGACCATACTTGAGCAGAGTCTGGTGGGAGAAAGGGTGATGTGGGGTAGACAAAATTAGGATTCAGTCAGTGAAAGTTCAAGGAGTGGGGCTGGAGAGATGGCTTAGATGTTAAGATGGCCGTTCTTGCAGAGGTCCCGAGTTCAATTCTCAGCAACCAAATGGTGGCTTGTTTTCAACCATCTGCAGTGGAATCTGATTCCCTCTTCTGCTGTGCATAAAAACTGTGTTCGTATATATAAAGTAAATACATGTTAAAAAAAAAAAAAGAGTTCAAGGAGTGTGAGGTGTGGAGGTCATGAGAGGACCTGGAAATATTCTAGTTATCACTGTATTCTCTTGGGTGTGGGGATGGGAAGTAAGGAGGGGATTCGCTGTGTTTCTAGGCCAGCTCCTTAATCCCTTAGGATGTGAGCTCTGCTGGGTCCAGCCATGGCATTGGTTTCTCTGTTTTATCCCTACCCCTCTCTGTCCCCCTCCTCCTGTCCTATATACTCCTCTCCTTTCCTTTCTCCTTTTCTGGGAGAATGGCCTGAAGTCTGGGCCCTAACTGAAGCAGTATTAGAGTGATGGGTTGAAATTCAGTAGGGGGCAGGATAAACCGCTAAGCTCTCAGGAGACTGGTCTACTCTTTCCCTAATTTTAGCCTTCCCTTCATTCACCTCTGTCCTTTCTGAGGGCTCACCATTGTTTTCTGAGTCCCCAGTCACCATTTGCTAAGACAAAAAAAAAAAAAAAAAAAAAAAACCAACAGACCTTATAGGAGATCATTTTATCCCTAACCATGGTCCCCCCAGGGCAGACAGTTGCCCCTTCCCCACAGGAAGGTAGTTGTCATGAAAACTGTCTATCTAGTTGTAGGAGAAGGCTGTGCCCTCCCACAGAGACCCTGATTCCTTCTGTACCTCATCCTTCTCCCTCTTGCAAGGTGGCGAGACATGGAAAGGTTGTTGCTATTGGGTGTAGGCTTAACACGGATTGCATCCTGGGAGTGGAGGTTCAACTCATAAGTGCTCTCTCTCTTCTCCCTGGGGTGTGGCCAGCCAACAAGCACAAGCCTTGGATCGAGGCAGAGTACCAGGGCATTGTCATGGAGAATGACAACACTGTCCTGTTGAATCCACCACTCTTTGCCCTGGATAAGGATGCCCCGCTGCGCTACGCAGGTAACTGGGTGGGGAGGCAGAAGACAAAGAGAGGGATGGTGGGTCCTTGTAGTGGGATCAATAGGAAAGTGGGGCACAGGCCTGGGAAGAGCCTCAGAAGGAGAGGAAGGGAGAGCTAGAAGGGGAATGGACTTCACTGAAGAATGAAGATGTCACAAAGGATGTCAAAGCTAATCAGCCAGGGGTTAAACATTATTAGAGTTTGCTGGCCTTAGACCTGCTGGCTCTGAGCACGTTGCTCAGGGAAGCTGGGGATCGCTGATACTTCAGGTCATTAAGAGAAGGGCCTAGAGGTCGGGAGGAGATGTGCAGCTGGGCACGGACCAGTCAAGGGGGAGGCTGAGGGCTGGAAGAAGATGCCCTGGGTCACGGGAAGCCTCACTTTCTCTCTTCCTGCCTTGCCAGGTGAGATCTGCGGTTTCCGACTCCATGGATCTGGGGTCCCGTTTGAGGCTGTGATCCTGGACAAGGCAACAGGGGAAGGCCTGATCCGGGCCAAGGAGCCTGTGGACTGTGAGGCCCAGAAGGAGCACACCTTTACCATCCAGGCTTACGATTGCGGCGAGGGGCCTGATGGCGCCAACACCAAGAAGTCTCACAAGTGAGGAAGGCCTCCCCCCTGCCTGTTGTTATGGGACCTTTCTCCCTCCTCCAACAATGGTCTCTCAGAAATGGGGCTCTCCATTTCTGATGCTCAGAAGCAAGTTCAGTTACTTCGGCTGCTTGCTAGCAGAGGCTAGACCAACTCCAACCTGGGGATGAAACCCCTCACCTCTCTTGTGCCAGGGAAGCACTCTACCTGTGGGCTATGTCTTCGGCCCCAAAGTTACTGCCATGAATGAATAATGATGCCAACTTTATTCTTTCTCCCGTGCCAACTTATTATTGTTTGTTTTAGCATAAGCATAGGGCTCTCTTAGTCCCTGGTCATACTGACTAAATGTCATCCCACCCCTGCTATTCAGAGAGCCTCGGGACCTCTGGTCAAGGTCACACGCATACAGGAATGTTCAGTGGTATCTCATCCCACTTTGCCTCTTACAGTCTTGAACAATGTCCTTAAGCCTTTCTGCATCTGCTTCTCCTTGTCTACATGACAGAGGTGCTGCTGGGACTGTTGTGGGAGATGGGTTTTGTATAAAAAGTGTGTGCTTCATACCTGCTGCACAGCACATGGGCATTATGGTGACGGGGAGACAAACAACGAGGAAGAGACATTTCACAGGCAGCCTGACCTTTCCCAAGTGCAGCACATAGCACACATCAGGCTTGGGACACACACACACACACACACACACACACACACACACACACACACAGCTTGGAGGGGCCAGGAAGGGTCAGGGATGTTATACCATGGAAGAGGATTGGGTCTCAGACCCCTACATCTGCTACCTGCTAATTTCTCACTTGACGGTGAGGGAAAGATGAGTAATAAGGAACCCTGGGCCACCCAGAGGCATCAGAGATTAGAAGGGTCTTGTGACTTGGTTTTTCATTTTGAGATAAGACCTGTCTCTGAGCCTGGGAGTCTGGATCTTGGCTGGAAGCAAGCACAAAATGAATGTCCCAGACCTTGCTCTGTTTGCCTGGGAAGGTGTGTGAATGGGGAAAGGCCACGATTGACGGGTGAACTACTCAGTTGTATCAGACAACTTCTGACTTCCGATCAAATGTGGCTCCCCTGATGGCTGGTTTTAACTTGTCTCTTAGTCTATGTTTTTCTCATTTCTCCTGTAAGATTTGATTTTTGTCAAGTCAGGGACTTGCCAACTTTGGGAAAAAAAAAAAAATATATATATATGTATAATTTTTTTTTTTTTTTTTTGCCTTTTCCTCTCACCTTGGCATCCTAATGAGGGTTCACCAATTACGCTCAGGGCTGTGTGTGTTATGGAACAGGTGGACAGACAGAGGGGACAGTGGAAAGGGGCTGGATGTGTGCTGAACCTATTCACCCTCTCCCTCCTCATTCTACACAGCCTTCCAGACAAAAAGCACCAACATGGCTTCTGATGTTCTCCAGGGCTTGTTTCTTTTTCCCCATGTCGCTGGCCCTTTCCTTGAGCCCTCTTCCTTGTGTGGTTTTACATCTGCTACGACTCCAGCACAGCCTGGTGCCCTGTGGAGCAGGGAGGGGCAGTCTCCAGGGCAGACTGGCTCGCATCTGCTCTCATTCCCAATCCGGATCCCTGACTGCGTTTTTGCTCGGTGCTCACGGCCTGGCTAATGCTTCCACATCCATTCCATTCCTCTGAGTGCAGGGCAACCGTGCACGTTCGGGTCAACGACGTGAATGAGTTTGCCCCCGTGTTCGTGGAGCGTCTGTACCGGGCTGCGGTGACGGAGGGGAAGCTGTATGATCGCATCTTACGCGTGGAGGCCATTGACGGGGACTGCTCCCCTCAGTACAGCCAGATCTGCTACTACGAGATCCTCACACCCAACACGCCTTTCCTCATTGACAATGATGGTGAGTCTATCTGCCCAGCATCTTAGCCCTCCAGATGACGGGTCCAGGGACCACCCTCTCCACTCCTGCCCCTCCCTTCAGACCTCATTTTCCTGCTTGTCCCTGTATGAGGCCCTTTCCCCCCGAGTATTTCCCTTCTACTTTCTCCTGCTAAGTGCCCCGCTCACGCTTGGCTTGCCTGGACTTCCCATGCCTTCCTGGTCCGCCTCTAGGGCACTGGTTCTCAACCTGTGGGTCACGACCCCCTTAGGGCCCTTATGGCCCTGTCACGGGGTGTCACCTACCAGCTATCCGGCATACCAGACCTTTACGCCACGATTCAACACAACAGCAGCAAATTTCCAGTTACGGAGTAGCAACAGATGGTTTTATGGCCGGGAGGACCTGTCTGAAAGGGCCGCAGCGCCAGGAAGGCTGAGAACCACCGCTCTAGGACCCCTGACCCTCTGCCCTCCCGTTTGCCACTTCAGGCAACATCGAGAACACGGAGAAGCTCCAGTACAGCGGCGAGAAGCTCTACAAGTTCACGGTGACCGCGTACGACTGCGGGAAGAAGCGGGCGGCGGATGACGCCGAGGTGGAGATCCAGGTGAAGCCCACCTGCAAGCCCAGCTGGCAAGGTGAGGGAGGCGCCTGGTCAGACCAGTTCTCTAGTGGCTGCAGGCGGTCGGCGCCCCCGGCGGCAGGGGCCGCCTCGCCATCTGCCTGTCTCCCTGTCTCACCTGCGCAGGCTGGAACAAAAGGATCGAGTATGCCCCGGGAGCCGGCAGCTTGGCCCTGTTCCCTGGCATCCGCCTGGAGACCTGTGACGAACCGCTGTGGAACATCCAGGCCACGATCGAGCTGCAGACTAGCCACGTGGCCAAGGGCTGCGACCGAGACAACTACTCAGAAAGGGCACTGCGGAAGCTCTGCGGTGCGTGTCCCCCCTCCTCCCAGGACCGTCCCTTCCCAACCGTCCCCCACTCTCTCTGTGTCCCAGGGGTCCATGAAGAGGTGGGGAAATGGGTTGAGTTAATGAGAGAAGAGAGCTGTCCTTCTCTTGTCCTTGAAAGGCCGTAAGAGGGGGTTCATCGTTTGTCTCCCCTTTCCTGGTTCCTTCCCCTTCTCCTTATCTGCTGCTTCTCAGCTCTGACTCTTGTCTCGGGGCCTCTGCAGGTGCTGCCACGGGGGAGGTGGACTTGTTACCCATGCCCGGCCCCAATGCTAACTGGACAGCGGGCCTCTCCGTTCACTACAGCCAGGACAGCAGCCTCATCTACTGGTTCAATGGCACCCAGGCTGTGCAAGTACCCCTGGGTGGTCCAGCGGGGCTGGGCTCTGGGCCTCAGGATGGCCTCAGTGACCACTTTACCCTATCCTTCTGGATGAAGCACAGCGTGACCCCGAGCAAGGGGAAGAAGGAGGAGGAGACCATTGTGTGTAACACAGTCCAGAACGGTGAGCCCTCCTTGAGGCCCTGACCCATGGCGGGACCCTGTCTTCTGTCCCACATTTGTCACGTACCACTACCCAGTGAGGACTGTTGACAGGTCTCTCCCCCTCTTTTAATTTGTAACTTGCCAGTTTTCTGTCTTTAAAGACGGTCTTGCCATGTTGCCCAGGTTGGCCCTGAACTGGGCTCAGGAGGTCCTCCTTCCTCACTCTGCCTAGATTGATTCAACAATGGCAAACACTGTCATGCCCAGTTTGTGGGCTGGCTCTTCTATCGCTGGGATTCTCTGACTTGTTGAGATGATGTTTTGAGATGTTCCTGCTCTGGGTACATACAGCAGGACTGATGCCCAAAGGACATTATCCTTCTCATTGGCAGTTGCCAAGTTAGTCTCCCTGCATCCCTGTCCCAGCTTTTCACCTATGAAAGTCACCATTGTACACGGTGATGGTTTATGCATCCTTTCTCTTCCATCACCACCCCCCCACCCCCTTTCTCCAGGAGTTGATGTGCTCTATCTCCATGTAGCAGTGAGAAAATGAGGGCTCTGGAATCATCCTCTTCACTGTCCCTTTGAACCTTTTCTAGCCGATTTCTTGACTCCTGTCCCCTTTCTGCCCCTTAGAGGATGGTTTCTCTCACTACTCCCTGACTGTCCATGGCTGCAGAATCGCCTTCCTCTACTGGCCATTGCTGGAGAGTGCACGTCCGGTCAAGTTTCTCTGGAAGCTGGAGCAGGTGGGACAGGGGCCAGCTCTGAGAGGGCTGGGTGGATGGAACTTTTAGGGGAGGGGGCTTCAGAGCTTCTGGGGTTGTTTTGGTTTTGATCACTCTCCTTCCAGCCTCAGTCCTTGTCTTGTCCTCTCAAGGCTTGCTGCTTAGAGGAGCATTCATGGACTGAAGGGAAGCAAGGGCGGCTGTCTACTAAACCTGGCTATCCATCTTGGCCCTTGTTTTATTTCATTTTTTTTTCTTATATACAACCCATATAACAGTATGTGTCCTTGATTCTTCAAGAAACTAAACGACACTGGGGTGAAGTTCATAGTTTAGGGTTCAGTGTTGGTTAGGAAGCCTGCTGGTTTTCAGTATGGGTTACATTTTATTTTATTTTTTTTGAGACAGGTTTTCTCTGTGTAGCCTTGGCTTTCCTGGACTCGCTTTGTAGACCAGGCTAGACTCAAACTCAGAGATCTGCCTGCCTCTGCCTCTGCCTCCCAGAGTGCTGGGATTACTGCCACATGCCCGGCTAGTATTTTAAAATTTTGTAATGTTCACTTTATAGTATTTTATTATTATTAATTTTTAAGACAGGGTCTCTTTGTAGCTCAGGCTGATCTTGAGTTTGCTAAAGAGCAGAGGAGGACCTTGAACTCCTGATCCTTCTGCCTCCACTTCTCAAGTACCTGGATTGCAGGTGCTGTCACCATGCCAAGCTAAGCTTTATCCTTTAAACAAGAATAAAAAGAATTCTATATCTTGAGGTTGTTTTATGATTAAATTATATAACAGGGCTTTATTAGACTCAAAACCACTCTGTATGTGTTAAGTGTCACTATTTTGTCCAAGCTTATGAAGGGTGTGTAAAAATGGAGAAAAAAATTAAGATCCTTTCTTAAATCCATACTTCCAAGGTGCAGTTATTATTATTATTTTTTTCTGAGGTGGTCTTTACTCTCTAGTCCAGGCTAGCCCTTGGCTTGCAATCCTTCTGCCTCCTGGGTGCTGGGCCTGAAGGTTTTGTGTCACCATGGCCAGCACATTCTGTTTGTTCATTTTCCAAGTTGACAAGTTGAGGGCCAACTTGTTTGAGTTTCCATCTTCTACCTTTTCTATAAACCCTGGTAGAGTGATTGATAAACGGAAAAAAGAAAAGTGCAGGAAATAGGAGAGAAGGAAAGGCCTGGAAAACTTACAGACTAGGTAAGTAAATGAAGTCTGTTTACAAAAGCTTTGCTGTTTGTGGCACATGTTTAGAGAGAAGGTTTGCCATTTGCGGCTTCTGGGACTTTCCCCATGTTGCTGCCTCCCTCCTCCACCCCCTTCTTCCCTTCCTTACCCCCTCCTCTCTGTCTTTTCCCTGGGATGCTGAAAATTGACTTTAGGGCCTTGCTCTGCCATGAAGCTATGTTTCCAGTCCACTTTTTGTTGTTTTGTTTACTGGTTTCCTTTTCCCCCCTTTTTCTTTATTCTTCCATCACATAGTACAGCCTGACTGCAGTTTCCCCTGCTTCCCCCCCAGCCTCCCCCATCTGCCCTTTCCCTCTGATCCAACCCCATTTACTTCCCCTCAGAAAGGAGCAGGGCTTCTAGGGACGTCAACCAAACACAGCATAACAAGCTACAAGACTAGGCACATGCTCTCACCTCGAGGCTGGGCAAGGCAAACCCAGCAGGAGGAAAAGGGTCCCAAAGGTGTGAAAAAAGTCAGAGACAGCCCCGGTTCCCACTGTTAGGAATCCTATAAGAACACCAAGCTGTTCAACTGTAACATATATGCAGAGGTCTTGGGTTAGACCTGTACAGGCTTCCTGATCTCTGTGAGCCCACCAGGGTCTCAGTCAGTTGATTCTGTGAGCCATGTTCTTGTGGTGTCCTTGGTCCCTCTGGCTCCTCTAATCCTTCTCCCCCCTCCTCCAGAGGACCTCGAACTCTGCCTAATATTTGCCCAGCCTACTTTTTACTTTTTGAGACAAGGTTTCCCTAAGCTGCCCAGTTTGGCCTGTAACTCACTCTGTAGGCAAGGCTGTCCTTGAATGTGTAATCCTTTTGTCCCAGCCTCCCAAGGAGCTGGGATTACAGGTCTGTTCACCATTTCAGGCTGGTGTGTGTGTGTGTGTGTGTGTGTGTGTGTGTTTGTGTGTTTTGCAGGATATTTAATCCCATTATGTACCCTAAGATTGTGAACTGTAAAAACCTGTTTCTAGTTGTGGTGTGGCTCAGCCCTAGCACACACCTTTACTCCAAGAGCTTTCTGTACACAGCATTTAATAAAGTTAACCCAAGAGGTCAAAGGTGGAGCAAGTAACCAGTTGACAGGGATTAAGTAGAAAGGAGGGACTTTGAGAGAAGAGTATGTAAGGCAGTGTGGATACAAAAAGGAGCTTTTGGTTTATTCCTTCTGGGCTGTTGGGTGAGCTGGCAGGCCCTTTCCTCCTAGGCCATCAGCTGAATAAGCAAGCTTTTGGCTTTTTTCTTCTGGATGTGAGTTGAGTAGGAAGGTCAGCTGGGTGCTTTCTTTGCCTCTTTGAGGTAGCAGGCTTTTATCCCAGCACCTGGCTCCTGAGTCTTTACTGGTAAAATTGAATGTTTGGGATTTTTTATTTTTATAACAATATGTGTGTTGGTGGGGACTGAATACAGGCCCTTATATATGCTAGGTAAGTGCTCTGTCACTAAGCTACATCCCTAGTCCTTCTCTTTAAAATTTTCTTTATCCTTTTTTTAAATTTAAAACATTCATTAAACACCAATTAAGTCCCTGTGTTTTCAACAGATATATTCCAGGGGTATATTGGAGCTTAATAATATGAAACAAAATATTCAATTTCATTTAGCTTATATTTTAGCTGGGTAGAAAAGCTAGTTTATCTTTTTTTTTCTCCCATGCCTCTGTTTCTCTCCCGACTTTCTCTCTTTCTCTCTTTCTTTCTCTCTTTCTTTCTTTCTTTCTTTCTTTCTTTCTTTCTTTCTTGGCACAGTTGGAGAGCTAGCAAAGGACGTTGTATGTGCCAAGTTAACTCCTGAACCCCGAGCCGGCCTTTACTTAAAATAAATGTAAATAGGAACAGCAGATGGACGATCTCTGAGGCCGTGGGGCACAGTAGACAGCAGGGAAGGGCTGAAGGAGGGCTTGGAGAGATAGGCAGTGACTTCAGGAAGCCTTTATCTGAAGGCCTTAAAGCAGGACTATGAATTGGTCAAAATTATGTTTGAAGACCATCACTTGGGCAGTTGTGAGAGGAGCAGAAGTAAGCTAGGCCTAGTGGCACAGGCCAGTGATCCCAGCTACCTTGGAGGTTGAGGCAGGAGGACTGAAAGTTCAAGACGAGATTGACAATTTAGTGAGACATTTTTGTTGTTTGTTTGTTTTGAGGCAGGGTTTCTCCGTGTAGTCCTGGCTGTTCTGGAATTAGCTTTGTAGCCCAGGCTGGCCTTGAACTCAAGAAGATCCACCTGCCTCAGCCTCCAAATGTTGGGATTAGAGATGTGTGCCACAACTGTATGGCTTTGCTTTTTTTTTAACAGTAGTAATAGCATTGTCATCATCATCATCATCATCATCATCATCATCATCATCATCATCATCATC